AAAACGTATTTATTGACCCAAGTATTTAGACTTATTTATGATGTTTCTATGCTGGCAACTCTCCTCATGCACGGAAGGGAGGGGTATTCTTCCAAATGTCCATGGAAATGGAGGTCAGATTTCAAAGACAGCCAGACGGGGAATTCTGGGAGTCGAAGTCTACTCCTCTTAAAAGAGCCATAGTTGAGAAACACTGTGTTGTCCCCTTCTGGTTTCTCCAGAAACTGGGCACTAAAAGCCAATTTCATTAGAACTAACTTTATTTAATGGAAATGGAAATTCTTACGAGGGATATGATGTGCAAGAGGTATTTTGTTCGGTCATGGCACGTTCATTTCAAGGGGCCGGCTCGTAAGTGTAAGGACTTGCCCCTACTGCCCTTCTCAGGAAAGGACAACTCTTGATGCCGTGTGGTTAATCAAAAGAACTTTTACCGAGAGACAGTGGTTGCAGTAAGACCAAGTGGAATCTAACATTCCTGCGCAAAGCACCAAGCTATTCTTCCCCCGCAGAAACCCAACCCCCCTGACCAGTCCACCGGCAGCCATTACAGTGCGGAATGGCGGTTTTGAGAATGCTGAGGTACAGGACAGATAGCGGGACATCCTCAGGGCTCAGCGACCTTGGAGTCAGGCTGGAACCGGCAGGGAAGGAGTCCATTCTGTCTCTGAAGATGATCCACCTCCCTAATTCCCATGTGGTCATGGGCTGTTTTTGCCAAAAATTGGAAGAAAATACCAGTTTGGGGCAAAAGTCACAAATTGCAATCATGTGACTATGGAAAGCTGCAAATGGTGGTAAATACACAGTGGTTGCTCAGTGCCTGAAATACAGCCATGTGACCACAGGGAGGGAAACAGCTGTTGGTTTCGGAATCAGATCGTAAGTACCTTTGGGGAGGCCCATCTACCTTTGAACAGTCGCTAACCCTAACAGTCCTAAGACTATCTGTACATCCATATAATTTTCATAGCAACAACAGAGACTAGACTAGACTAGACTAGACTAGACTAGACTAGACTAGACTAGACTAGAATAGAATAGAATAGAATAGAATAGAATAGAACCTTAGAGATCTTTTAGTCCAACCCCCTGCTCAGGCAGGAAACCCTGTACAATTTCAGACAAATTTTTGTCCAGTCTCTTCTTTAAAGCTTCCAGTGTTGGAGCATTCATAGCTTCTGGAAGCCAATCATTCCACTGGTTAATTGTGTTCACTGTCAGGAAACTTCTCCTCAGTTCTAGGTTGCTTCTCTTCTTGATTAGTTTCCATCCATTGCTTCTTGTCCTGCCCTCAGGTGCTTTGGAGAAGAGGTTGACCCCCCTGTTCTTTGGGGCAGCCCCTGAGATATTGGAACGCTGCTATCATGTCCCCCCTCATCCTTCTCTTCGTTAAACTAGACATACCCAATTCCAGCAACCATTCCTTATATGTTTTAGCCTCCAGTTTTGCTCTTCTCTGCACTCTTTCTTGATTCTCAGCATCTGTAACAAATATCATCCACAAATGCTAACAATATAGATCATTTGCCTTCACAATTTCAAATTATCTGAAAGTGATCTCAGGAAAGGCAACTTCACTCCAGTGCCGGGAGATGTGGGCCTCTAAGAAATCCTGTCTTAATTAAGGAATTTTAGACTGTATGAGGAATTTCCCAGCCTTGTTTATAATGAATTCTTTTATAGTGACAAATCTGTATTACAAGTCCCAAATTCTGTCTCAACCTCGACTGGCCTTCAAGATCTCTTCCTGTAATCCTTGTCTTTCTTGCTTTCTTCTCTCGGCAGTCACAGAATCTGGAGCTCCAGCAGGAAGTGGCTTTCTCTGATTTCCTAGAGAACTTTTCCTCCTAACCTCGGGGATGCTTCTTTTAGGCTTTCACATCGTCCAGTTGATGGTCTTCTGTGAAGTGAGGGAAGATGGGAAAAGGAGCGGCCACTGGGAGTACGGCTATGATGGGCGGCATTTTCTTGGCTACGACATGGGGACCGGCATCTGGACAGCAGCTGACAAAGAAGCCCAGTGGTTCAAGCAGAGGGCTGAAACCTACATCAATCAGCGTTTCACAGATTACCTGGAGAATATCTGCATGGAGTGGCTGCAGAAGAATGACCACTACAGATTGGAGACATCCTTGAGGGAAGGTATGGAGAAACAGCCAGAGAGAAAGTATGGGAGCTGCATCTGCTTAGGTGTTGCAACTGTTTCCTGTGTAGGTTTTGTTGGAATATTCACGAGCAGAAAGAGTCATGTGGTAACTCAGTCAGCCAATGTGAAGAAAGTGCTACTGAGTCTGTGTAAAAAGGTTATTGAGTTAGAAGCTGGGTTTCAGTTTCAGGTCTCAGGTCTGTCTCTGCTGTAAGAAGTCTTCATTTATGCTATGTTGCTATGAAGAAGAATATATGGTATTGTAAATAATTTTATATGAATATAAAGAGTTTATTTGAATCAGCTAAATGCAGTCAACTGTGAGAGCTTTTGATTTATTTTCACCAATAGAGAAATTAAAATTCTCTAACAGGTTTGCTGGCAAAGAACAGGCCAGATGACCCAGTTGGCTTGTTTTCTGCTGGCAATCGTCAGCCGATGTGCTACCCCACTCACTCATACCCACGTAACTGTGGTTTAGTGAGTTTATTAATGTTCCCCAGTAATTCTCTTTACCAATATTCAGAACTGTCTCTATAGGCCCAGCCACAAGCAAGCCAAGATTAGTCCACAAAGCAACTGGTCAATAGTCCACAAATAAGTGAAAGTTGTTCAAACAAATAGCTCCAACAAACAAACTTAAATCCACCAGGCCAAAATAAAATACACACTCAAAAGCTCACTTAGCAAGAAAAGTTCAGAGTCTCCAAGGCACGATTCCAAACAGTGAAGCAGGAAGCATGGTGATGAAAGAAACAGCCGGCAGTAACGCCTCCCTATTCCTGCTGTCCTAAATAGCCAGTTTCCCAGTGCAGCCCATCAAGACGGGCAGGGGCTTCTCCCTAGTAGTCTGGCTGACCTCCACTGCTCCTGCCTTTTCTCTGCCCTGTGTGCTCTCGGATCAGGTGCAGGAGGCAGTTCCTCCTCCTCTTCACTGGCCGTCTGCCTCTGCAGGCTTTCCCCAGCTGAAGCCTCCTCTGATTCTCTTTCGGCTGGCTGTTCAGAGTCATTATTTAACTGCGCGAGGAAGAATCTGGGGAGTCGTCCAAGCGATTGCAGCCTTGATGCTGCCCTTGTTTTTAGCCCTCTCTGATATTTTTTTTAAAAAAATCGGTCTCTAGAAGTGGAAATAGTAGTGTCAATCTTGTAAGGCAGACATGTCAAACACAAGGCCCGGGGGCCGGATGCGGCCCGCAAAGTGGTTTCATGTGGCCCGCGAAGCCATCCTGGAAACAGTGAGGGAACGGCCCCTCTGCCTTGGCCCTGGCCTAGGCCAGCCGGGAGCCAATGTACAATTTTGTGGTGGCCATCTATGCTGAAATGCATTCAGTCTTAGCTCCATAAGCCCCCCCCCCGCATGGCCTAAGAGGAACAGTGTGGTTCCTCCAGTGGACCATGCCTTGGCACTTGCCCTGGTCCCACCCCCTTCTGCCAGAGACCCTCAGATCTGTCCCACTCTTGCCCAGGCCCCCATAGGCACCCTTGACACGAATGATATAGAGCTGGCCATACCCACCCAGTATGCCACACCCACTCCATCCACGCCCACCCAGTAGGCCACACCCACCCTGGCCACACCCACCCAGCCCCCTGTGGGCAACCGCAATGCTGATGTGGCCCTCAATGAAATTGAGTTTGACACCCCTGTTTTAAGGGAATCCAGACAGGAAACAGGACCAGAAGAGTTAATTCGAATCAAATCAAATGTGCTGCCCCACTCACTCACACCCAGGTAACTGTGGTTTACTGAGTTTATTAA